TCAGACCGAGAATTAAGCTGAGGAAAATACCGTTACTACAATTGACGAACGGAACCCCACGATGTCAATTGGATTTGATCAGATGCGAGAACTATTGCAGCAGCAACAATAACAGTTTGAAGAAGAGCAACTGAAGCTCATTGAATCACTGACTCAGAAACTGCATATCCAGACAGCAGCAGTCAGTGCTGGTGGGTCTACTTTTTCCTCAACTGATGCAGCCGCGGCCTTTTTCTGGTCACAAATTTGACTCCTGGATCAAGCGATCCGAAGACATGTTCAAGGCTGATTTGTCCTAATTTGATGATTGATGGAAAGTCAGACTATTGCTGCGAAAACTCGGCACACCGGAGCATGAACGGTTCATAAATTTCTTTCTCCTCAAGCGGCCCTGCGACCCCAGCTTTGATGAAACGGTCAGAACACTGTCTCAGATATTCGGCGATCAAACATCACTGTTCAATATCCGCTACCAATGCCTAAAGTGGGTCAAGAAAGATTATGATGATTTCATCACGTTTGCCGGTGTTGTCAATCGAGAACGCGAGCGCTCCAAGCTCAGCTCAATGACGGAGAATCAGTTTAAGTGCCTCATTTTTATATCCGGTCTCCAGTCATCCCAGGATGCTGACAACAGAACCCGGCTTCTTAACAGAATTGAGCAGGATGCCGAAATGACGTTGCAGAGGCTCACCACTGAATGCCAACGACTCATCCACCTGAAGCACCACACGGCTATGATCGGTCAGTCACCTGTGACCTCAAGCAGCTGTATACAGGCGGTCAACTCCAGCGTGCTAAGGAAGTCCGACAAGAAGCCCCACCGAAGACAGGGTGAGCCTCTCACAAGTTGCTGTCATTGCGGTGAGTGGCATTTTGCTAGTTATTGTCGGTTCAGGCGTCACAAATGTTCCAGGTAGAATCACGTATGTCGTACGAAGATCTACTCAGTAAGTGTTGGGCAGGAATCCCCACGAATCCCGTTTTACTGCACAAAAGTATAGGAGAAGTCTGTAGTTCGCCAATTTCATATCTGGAACTCTAGTTTACTTGTCTCAGAAAAATTCGGTGGTCTCCGGCTTTCAACATCGGCCCTTTAAACCCGTAATTTGTTCGACCATCAGATTCACTGTCGCAGAACTCTGTCATTATTCAGGCGCTAGTCACCTGTAAGTTGAATGAAATTACTGATAAATCGCCGTTATTTTCTCGCTCAGAGGGGGCTATGTTTGGCTTCGGTAATCTATGTGCTAATGCACTTTCTCTGTTCGTACAGGTGAACTAAACTAATGCGCCAAAAGCAAATCTGAAATGATCCCAAATTGAGGAGTCATCAATTGGACGAACCTCTGAAATTTCAGGCTTTCCTATCGACTGCCCATTTGTGGCGACATAATTCCAAACGTTCTTTGATAGAACCAACAGTTCATCCAACGTAAAGGAATGAATAAATGACATTTCATAGCAATACAAGTTCCCACTTGTGATGAAAACATCTTGTTGTCGAAACCGGATATTATTTGATCAGAGTTCCGAAATCACTGTCGACAACCTACTGGACATTGCAGCGCTGATGGAGTAAAACAGTATGCCCTTAATTTTCTTGATAATGCTAGAAGAGTTCCCGAATGGCATCGCTTAACTATTTTATCATACATAGAGTTCGCCGATATTTCACTTTCCAACGGTTGCTATTCTCTCGTCTAATCTTGCCTCGTCAACATGCCCCAAACTTACATTGGTAACGGTATCTTCCTCAGCTTTGTTCTTGGTCTGAGCCTCCCAAGCTAGCGTTCACTTCAAAACAACCACTAAAGCTGCACAAAATCCAATAATGCCCAAAACAAAGTCAAGAACAGTTGTGCAGCGCTCCGTGTATAGAGCGTAAGTGGTTATAACTTTCTGGAGTTTCTGAGGCATTCTGGATGTGACATTGGCAACCGGCGTTTGGACAATATTGGGTCATGTTTGTCTATTGGGTCCACATTGTTGGCCAATCACATCTCGTTTTGATGCCGGGCCGGCAGGTGTCCAGAATTATGGGCCACCCTCGAGCGGGCCAGGTTTATCGGCCGCAGCAGCGCCTAAAGGCGTGCGGTATAGCGGGATTCGTGTGGATTCCTGCCTAACACCTCCCCCTTGAAGTTTATCGATGTTGCTTCAAAGCCGGCGGTTCACTCGCAGTGGCCTCACTGGCTTCCGAATCCTGTCTGTCCAGCGTCGCCTTTGTGTTCCGTGCTCTCACTGGGCCCCTGACGAACCGACTGATTGATTTTCTGGTTGGTGCCGAGATCAAAAGAGTCCAGAAGCATTTCTAGGCTCATATCACTCGGTCCTGAAGGCACGATCTGCGCCTCTGTCGGGCGTATCTGGTTCGTGTGACGTATCTACTTGCTTGGACCAACTCGAATATCGTACAGCACTTTGCCGCGCCGGCGAAGGATGAGTCCTGGCGTCCATGCAGTGTGTCTGCCGCTATAGTCACGAACCAACACTCTCTGGCCTTCACCGAATGCGTGCGCAGTTGCTCCATGATGTCGGCTGAAATGTTCCTCCATTCTGGTGTTGCGGTGACCATCCTGCTTTGTTTGGGGCCGTATAGTGTCATGCGGTGTTCGGAGACTCCTTCAGAGTATTGCCTCTGCTGGTGATGATCCATCCGGCGAGTTGGGGTTTGGCGTCCCTCGATATACCAGCGGGAACCTTTGCAAGATCTCTTCCATTTGTCCCTCCCCATGGACGTCTGAAGTGCCAGCTTGAGAGTATCAACAAAGCATTTCGCTTGCCCGTTCGACTGTGGATTAGCGGCGGAGGGCGTATATGCGTTATTCCATACTCCCGACAATTGTGCAAACGCCGACGACGTAAACTGACTGCCGTGGTCGGATACAGTAGCCTCTGGCGTCCAAAAACGACAGAAAAATCGCCGGAGTTCCAGGACTGTAATGGCGGTTGTGGA